TTGTCTAGTTATTGCATATGCATTTGTGCGTGGAGTCTGAGCCCTAAATCGCCCGACAGTTGGATCCAGTTACTCGACTCCAACCACCACTGCATATGGTAACTGTGTGCGGATTCGCAGTGTCAGACTTTTTGCTTCTGCTGTCGCTGGGTGAGGACCGTATTTTGTCGCTCTTATTTTATCTGCTTTAAGCGTGGATTTTACACTATTTTATTAAAGTCTCTTCGTTTGCATCGTGACCTATTTGTGCGGCTTTGCAGCACACGGGATCTTCTGAACTAATTATACTAGACGATCAGTTCCCAAACTATGGGTCGCTACCCACTGGTGGGTCGCAAAAGGAATCTTAGTGGGTCGTGAAAAGATGTAAAAAGCTTTAATTAATTATACTGGTTGTTAGCATCGGTGACGACTTGAATACGTAAATCTTCTAAAAAAGCAAAAGAAATTAAATTGAATTAAATTCTAATCTGTGACAGTTTCCTTTTTACGATCTCCTCAATGGAATAAAAATTTGCTGCACAAAGAATGACCATGTGGCTTTTTTGCGCATAACAGTTTTGTACACTGCACAGCACTTGTTACCGTGTTTCCCCAAAATTTAGACAGGATTTAGATTTATTTTCTTTTGAAGAAGAAGACTATATTAGTGGCGAGCACCTACCAGTATACCGGTAAAGTCGTACTGCTGCACTATGTAGTGATGGCGGACCACTGAGCCTTGTGTCATAAAGTCAGGCCCGCGAACGCTCAAATTCCAATTTTTAATTTCTGGATCGGTGGTAATTTTGAAAACTTTGAAAGCATCGAAAGGTTCTGGGTATTCACAGTCGCATACAAATCGCGATTATAATTCAACTCTCTTAAACTTTTATCTTTACTGATATTTTTTGTGTTCGTACTTGGCACGAATATGACATATACGTATCTCCCGTGGGATGAATACGGAAATCTGAGTACAGTACCGTGCTAGTGATCTTTGTTCAGTAAAAGTACATTGCGATTATGAGAAAAGTATAACTTACGAACGAAAGAACAGTAGCGGTCAAATGTCAGCTTATATTCTAATAGCCAGCACTGAAATTTTGCGTTCATTATACAAATTTCCGATTTGTCAGAAGCAATCAATGTTATTGTGTGGCGCATCCATCAGTAAGTCAAAAATCCTATTTTAAATTTCGTCCAATTTTCCGATATTCATTGTTTGTATTTCTCTTTATTTCATTTTGGGGAAAAATTGAAAGCTAATTATAATTAGCTAATTTTTGTTCCCGACCTTGTTTTCACACATAAAGTTTTTTTTATTTGTGATTATTCATCTTGGGGTCATTGCCCATCATTTCTACATGGGTGTTCTAGTAGTTTTCAAAAAACAAAGCCATTTAAAAATACCAGGGTCTGCTGGGAAGAACTTTTTCTTAGAAACAACACTCCTCATTTGAAAATTCATAGCTTTTTTAGAAAGAGCAAAGTCTAGTAGTCTTTTTAGAAATCTCTGAAAAGCTACAGTTGCTAAGCTGGTCTTCCAGTATTGAAAACGGGTTTTATAATTATACCTGCATTTGGCGAAGATGAATTTTCCGACTCGCTTGAACTTTTTTCCGCCTGGATTCGAAGTCGAATCTGGATTATTCCTTGTCGGTTCTCTCGTGTATTTTGGCGGGTTTTCAGAAGGCATGCTTAGTATTTTATAAAACCAATGTTACGTTGATGAAATTATTCTGAAAAACAAGACACTGATTCACGGGACTCATTTCTTCCGTATATCTGAGTTTTATTACCTTACTTGATAGAGAGACTAAACAAGTGAGATAAATTTGAAGCTGTGTGTTTATGTATCGATATCTAACGAAAAGTCGTGGCGCTCTGTAGCGTGACCTCGTTTGAATTTTAGGGGTTTGAGAATAAAGTGACAATCCACTTACGACTTGCAGTGCAATCAAAAATTAGGTCATTTTGTTGTTTTATTGGAATCTATATATCTAGGTCAGGGTGGTCCAAACCCAGGCCCGCGGGCCACATGTGGCCCGCCGCTTCATCATCTGTGGCCCGCGTCGCATTTGCGGAATTTAAACAAAAAATTGCATTTGGTGTTCGTTCGCAAAAAAAAAATAACCAGAAAAATCTTTTGACATATTGTTACATCACTAGTGTCACTGAATTGATTACTGTCATGGTTAGCTGAGGCAACTGGCAAAGTTTAATAATGTGCTTGGCTAGTCTAAATTGTTTATTGGCTTCCTATCTTTTTGGTCGGGAACATCTGCTAACAAATAGGCTCCATAGAAAACTAATAATCGAATGAGGAATCTATTAGCCTAGGTCGGATATGCCTGATAACTAAATAGTAATGTTATAGCTGAAGAATACAATTCCTGCCGGATCTTTTTTTTGCAACCAGCCTAAACCGTATTACAAGAGATGCTTCCTATACGTAAGAAAATTTAGTAATTACCCTTCCAAATTTGACGAATTTCGGCAATCAATCAATTTGCAGTTATTCATAAGTTATTCTGTAAACATGGGTTTATAAAGAAAGCTGACCGATTCAAACAGATTTCTGACTGAATAATGGGAAGAAAAATACCGCTTGCTTGATATCTCTGCAAGTTGGGTCGTCGAGAGTCTGAAACGGCAATTTTTCCTTATGACACCTTCTGTAGTAAATGTAGATTTAGTAAGATTTTTGCACGTTTTAATGAGTTTTTTGGTGATTTTTGAATGTTTTAGCTTGCGAAATGACAAATAATGATCAATGTGTTTGGACAATAAACGTGTTTGTTTTGTATTACACTATTCACCTATTCTTGGCACTGTTGTGGCCCGCGAACAATGCAAAAATAATAGTGTGGCCCGCGAGGCCGTCAACCTTGGACCACCCTGATCTAGGTTTACCATACGTCCCGTTTTAGGCGGGAAAGTCCCTTTTTTCAACGTCTTGTCCCGGCGTCCCGACCGGTCAGCCAAAAGTTCCCCTATGGCGCAAAGCCAATCAGCATAATACAAGATCATCGCATCGTGCTAAGCATCAGGAATACCCTCGCCACCCCACCTCTGATTACCCTGCGCAAGGTTCGAAGCCCGTTCAAGAATTAATTATGTCGAGAAGGATTGCTGGACCGCCGTGGAGTGGGTCACGTTTTGAAGGCAGTCAGTCTTATTTTGCCTGAACAAGTCAAACCATGTTGTACAAAAAGCTTTCAAATTGCAAAGAGAAACTGTTTCATGTTCAGATCTATTAGTAAAATTCGGCGTGTAACGGACCTTCAAGACCAAAATTTAACAGAAAACGTCGATTCCGATTATTCAATTTAAGATAACAAATTTTAATTATTTTTTAAATTTTGCTAAAGCTTACGACTTCCTCCGCTGTCAAGTCCATGTCACTAAATCAGTTACTTGGTTTACCATTTCCATGCCTGACGTCAACTATCGTTCCATACAGATACAAGTAAATGCCACTCTGTTGCATGTGCGAGATACATTATCATGAGGACAAAAACACAATAATTGGTCACAAAATTGAAATATTACATTAGAAAAATAAACATCAACTTCAGCGATAAATTGTGTTTGTTAGTCTTGGGATATCAGGGGGGCGCTCCAGAATTGTGTGTACCAATATGGAGGTAACTAATTTTGTTCGCCTACTTAAGTTGTGTATAGGGACGAAAGCTTATGGGCAGGAATAGAACTAAATTAAGGAAAATCGGATTAAAATCATGGTGTAACCTGGTACACCTACCACGGGGGTAACAAACATAGACCTAGTCAGATATTATTTTTATTTTTAATACATTCTGAAATATTGTCCACGGTTTTGATATGCGGGGTGTTCATAAAGTCCCGTTACAATTTCAATTTTATTTAAAGTCTGTTCTTAATATATCTTAACCATTTTTTATTTCAATCTGTGTATTTCAATTTAAGTGTTAACTTAATCCAATACACCTGTTTGCGTCGACAAACTATATATAATATCAATAAATTTCTTTGCAATTAAAAAAAAAAGGTTTAGGACTTTATAAAAACCCTGTATAGTTGAAATCGGATATATTCAATTTTCACAATGGAGATTGAATATATTTTGTAAAAATAATAAAAATTTCAAAATAACATAAACTTTTTACAGTTACAGTTTTACGTTATTAATATTATTATTGAATATTCCTGGGAGCGATGTCTTTATGGAATAATTTATTGCCTATGACCGTTCCACAGGCGGCCCGCCAAAACAATAAGTCTGGCCCTTGTCAACACTCATATTTTATCCCACCAAGAATAAAATTCCAACCTGACAATTTATGTTTAAAAAAGCGCACACACGGGTTGAAATCCATAATTTTGAGATTTCGTCGTTTTGCCTTTATTACTGTAAGGTTAAGCGATAGCCTTTTCGTTGTGATAATTTTTTAATTCATTGTGTACGTACACGAAAGAAATTTGAATGTTTTTGAATTGCCCAGCTAGGTGTCAGAAGTTTGTTATATGGCCCGCCGACAAATAATGTTGCACACCCGTGGGCTAAGCCAATTTGGAAATAAATTTCAACCCAGCAGTGCTGCTGAGAAATCGCTCATATATAACCTTGTTGGGTAATCGCCCAAGGAAAAGTTGTAAAATAATAAAAAAATGAAGAAGCAACGAAAAGGTTAAATATGAAATAAAATAATGTTGAAATTTTGCCACAAAAAACATTGTACATCTTGATTTATTTATAACATTTTGGGTTGAAAATTCGTCATTTTAATCATCTAAAATTTGTTAATTAAGCCGGAAATGATTATTTTGAATGATGACAGCGTTTTTGGCATCTTTCTCACCTAAAATTTATTACATTTTTGGAAGAACCGGATCTTTCTTGTCCGACATCACCAACTCAATTTATTAACTCTGGGTGTGCTGATGGGCATGGATTTTAGCCAAATTAGTACAAACAACCCTCCCCATTCTTCAAAAAAAACAGTTTTTCAAATTTTCAGCATTTTTCCATATACTCATACCAAGTCTACCTTAAATATGAAAAAATAGTAGACCTTGTCAAATTGGCTTCAAATTTGACAAAGGTGACTGTTCTTATATAGCCTTGTTCCGAGTAAATCCTGTCCTAACAAAAAAACAATTTCTGGCTGAGTTCGGAAATATACAAATTAGCAAAACATTGTCTTGAAACCTGATAAACAGACTTTTGCTTTAGTCCATGCACTCAAGCTCGCCAAGAGTGTGCCAACCATGTTCATTACTGTCCCCCATATCCCCAAATCTCATCTCTTCCACCGGCAGAGTCTTCTTGTCCGTCAGATATCCTTCATCTTGAGTCAAAAACATTTCCAGCATTGTTGTCACAGTTGCATTTGTAGGAATTATCAACGCATTCACCTAGAAATGAACAATATGGGATAAGTCACTCATTAATTTTTAGCGTTCGTGGTGAAGAAGGGCGGCATGGAACTTCCCAGAAGCTCTTAAGAACCTCTTTACAATACTTTGATACTATTTCATTGTCTGAATTGTATAAACCAATATACATATATATATATACAGGGTAGTCCAAAAAAATGTCACCATTTTAAAACTGTTGGAATTTGAAAAATGGTAACAATTTTTTGGCTCACCCTGTGTAAAGTTGGAACGCGAATTCCAATCCACTCAACGTTGTTGTAGTGGAGTCCTATTTGCACCCGCACCCGCCTTGAAGAATTATGCGCAATCTCCCAGCTTCTAGTAACTGCACAACCAAAGTAAAGAGGCAACGAGATCTTTAGAAAACGAACTGTATTCATCAATCAAGATAATAAGGATAGAGCATAATTTGTCTGGGATTGTTAATATAATAGAGAAATATAAATGGACGAAAGTGTGAGGTCAAATCTAACACCCTGTATGTAAGCAAACCAAATACTGATAAAACAGAAGATTTTCAAAAGTGTAGCAAGTTTAATAATAGTGGTGAACCTATTATTTAAGAACTATACATATATTAATATAGACTCTCGTATTCGAATGGAAACTTGCGGAACCCTCAGGCGTCGCACGACCCCGATTAATAACCATTGCACTCGCACATCACACAGTGGGAGTATGTTTCTTATCAATCTCAAGAGAAAAAAAACTTATAAAGAGTGATCCTAGTAATCAACAGTCTAAGCCAGTGGTTTCCAAACTAGGGTCCGCGGACCTTTCGGGGTCAGTGAAGCACTTTCGGAGGGTCCGCGAAACAAATCTGTAATATGGCTAATAGCTTGATAATACAAAAATTAGGTGCTTAAATTTGCAAATACACATTTGCTGCGTCGCAATAACCGCTGGAGACACTGATTCTTCCTTTTCTGTTTCGATCACGCTGCCCCATTGTGATGTCACAGAGAGAATTCAATTCATGCACCACAAGTTTACTAACTGCAGAGCCGTAGGCCCGTAGCTGACGCTGCACGCTTACCAAATATCGAAACATACTGGATGTCACACATGTTATTGGAGTCTTTTGATCGTATCAATATTTTGCGCATTGATTTTTTGTTGTGATATTTTAATGTTTTTTTAGTGCACTAGGCCGGGAATCATTTAAAAAATTGCAAGGGGTCCGTCAGGGAATTTTTTTGAAAAAGTTTGGGAACCACTGGGACTCTAAGCCAAGTATGACAATAGCAAAACCATACTACCATTTTTTCGGATAATCTATTCGTCTTCTTGTTATGAAATATTGTCTTTGTTCTCTACTTGACCAATTGCTTTGAAATTTTCAGTGACTAAAGATTGTTTTTTTCGCTAGTAGGCTTTAATTTATTTCAAAAATTCCTGTGAGCTTTGAGGGATTCGTTTTTTTTTTGTGTGTGTGTGTGTGTGTGCGATGACGTCATCAAATTAAAAAATGCGCACCTTATAGCGTTTACGTCAACGATCTGGTTTTAAGGCGGTACCGTTGCCTACTGTGACTGATTGCATACTGTTGTGTTCTTTAGCCCCCTTTGTTTGCAAGAAATACACCACAAGTATAGACGTTGTAGCAACACCCTTTATTGACCATCGACTGGCCGGAAACTCCGACCAAGGACAAAACGTGTTAAGTAAATCGCATGAGTAGTCATGCGATTTATGACGTAATAAATACACCACACATACCCGTACTACTTCGTTTTGACTTTCGTGCCCCTTTTGTGTCACTGTTTTGTTTTCAAACTTCTTTTAAAATTAATATTTTCAATATTACTTATAACCAATTTCGAATGTATTCAAATACTCAATAATTTTAACTTTTTGCCATCCTTGCATTAAAACAGCGTAATATGAGTACGAGTATAGCGTACCTGTTTCACCACATGCACAGTAGTTTTTCCTCATGGAAGTCGCGCCTCCCCAGTAAGTCATTTTTTCTCCTCCTCTTGACACCCACCAGGCATAATTATCTCTGAATATCATGGATCCTTGACATCGGTACTGGAAAAAGTCATTGTTAATTTAACTTAGAAAATAGATTTAATGAGGAATTCACAATTTTCAAATAGCTATTTTTCAATTCTTTTCAACTTGAGCTGAGCGTTGCGACTGGATACACGACTTTTATTCTATTCACTATAGTTTCAGTAGCTCTTGACAGTAATCAGTAATTTATTTTTCCACCAATCTGAAAATACGCAACATACATATACGAGCAGAATAAGATAAGGATAGTATTTACAGAGTGGATGGAGACACTGAAAACCAGTACTGGTTATCGAGCAGCGACACCTAGATGGGGTCTAAGATGGGATAAAAGCGAAATAAAGGTACAAAGCTTAAATTAAATATAGAAACAGAGTATTCACACTAGTATATATATATTAGAAACGTTAAGTATCTGGAGGATGGGAAATGCAAAAGAGAGCCTCCAAGCACCGTCGAGCGAGGTAACCATGGCAACTGCTCGGCTGAGTGATAGCAGATTAATTTATAGTTACCACATATAGCAGGATATTAATTTGAGATTTTCAGGATGCATAAGTTAGAATTTGTGTATGACACATACGGATCGAAAGTAAACCGGTTTACCTATAGGTTATAAAACATGAATCTGGTACCATGCTTTGCTCAATGCTAAGCCTCCTTTACTTCTGAGTCAGTGCGCGTAACTTAATGCGGAGAGGAATCTGCTTTATCTCTTAGTTGGTGCATGTAATGCTTAACCATAGATTCAGTAACTATCCGAATTTCAATGGCTACTCTCTTTGCGTGGTGCGCGTGGTCTTCTTGAGTCAATTTAAAGTCAATCGGAGTCGTGTAGATAGCATCCTCACAATCTAGGACCGGAATACATGTTGTTGTGGCCACGAGCAAAAACCTTCACACAATATCATTTGTCGCATCATCGGGTTTTGAATTTTTTAATGCTTACCTTAATATATTGTCGACATCTTCCCGACTGCTCCGTGATTTTCAGTATTTTGTCATTTGCTAAGTCATAACGAGGAAATTTAGAGTAGCAACCAGAGTCTTCACAGTCTGGAATTGAAAACTCTTTTGTCGAATCGTGGGATACTTTGGTTATTGCTGTAAATAAAAGAGAAAGTGGCATATTAGTTTTCAGTTTGAAAAAATAATAAGCTGAAAACGATAGATTTTGATATTTTCATGAAGTATCAAAAAAATTCAAACGTGAAAAATAATTAGATGGTTAGGAGGTAGAGCCAACTAAATTTCCTGACAGTTCAGATTTCATTTATTATGGTAGGATTGACTCAACGCCATAGCCCTGGCTCTTCAGCCCTGATTGTACCCACTGGGCATTATAATTTTACACCAAACTGATATCAGTATTTGAGACTTACCTGTACCGAAGCCAAAATCACACCATACTTGGTAGGAATCTCCTGTCGAACCCAACCGATAGTTCCCGGAAGTGAGTTGCCCCATTTTATTTCGTAGTTGATGACATGTGAAAACTCCATAATGGGCTGAAGTACAATATAATTGAATAAGTAAATTAATTGACGCGGTGGCTCACATTAGAGATTAAAGTGTTAGAATCGACAGTGGTGACACATACCGGGTAATAAATAGGGAAAAAAATTCCGAGCCAGCAAGTTTCTCGCAAGTTACAGTGAATGCTTGTAATACTCCGAAATCATTAATTTAACTAAGCGTTTCAACTGTCGTTAATAAAACTTGATTTCACACCTGAAATCGAAATTCTAACAACCCGGAATCAAAAAGTTTTTCTTTACTCGGAAAGTTTTTTAAACCGGCTTCGAGAACCGATTGCAAATTTCCCAGATAGGGATGAAAGTATGCAGAGAAAGGAAAACTTATTTGGTACCGACTCTATACATTACAACAAGCGTAGATAAATATTACAGCCCGGAGTCGGAGTCAAAATTCTGGTACTCCCGTAGTGTATGTACCAGATTAGGGTCTCGGCATAATTTTATTCCAGTTTTCCTTATTTTAGTTCTATTACGAGTTTGGGGACTGTTTATGGTAGCCATATGATTATGCCCCCTGCCCATAGATTTCAGTCCCTTTACACAACTTGATGTAAAAAGGGCGAACAAAATTAGTTACCTCCATATTGGTAAACACACTTCTGGAGCGCCAAAATTTTTCTTAACCCGGAAAAGTGTTTTAATTTGGGATTCGATTGTAACAACACTTTGATATCTACTTTATACATTACAACAAGTTATCTATTCAATCACACCTGCACAATGGTGATAAGATGGAACTCCCCCCAATCTCTCTGGAAACCGGTAAAATCCATGTGTCGACACCCCATGGCTGGAGAAGAGCTCATCACAATCTGTTACGTCTGAATGCATTGAAATATATTAGTATTTATAGCATATTCGATGGTAGAGTGGGTAGTGCGAAAACCTGATTTTAGAGAAATTCCCCCATTTAAAAAAAAAAATAGTGTAACCCATCAAAAAATAACAATAATAATGAGAAGCCGAAAACAAAAAAACATCAATGCTCAAAATGAACAATTATAATGATGGAGCTTCACTAATAATGGCTGAAAATTTGAAGCAATTCGACCATAGTTCGAATAGAAAACCCATTTTGCCCGAACAACAACAATTTTGCAAAGGATTCTTGAAAATTTTGATAACGAAATAGCCATAATGTGAAGTTTTCACCAATTAACTCAGTTACCCACCTTCATACACAGCGAAGTCGCAATAAAATGAGACGATTGAACTTGTCCTATTCTCTCGCAATGGGTAGTATCCGGTAGCGGTGACTCCGTGAACTTCGTTGAGCTCTTGGCAGCTTGTTGCACCTGCGTGAAATATATATATTTTACAAGAGGAAAGTAGAGACAACGTTGCAGATGCGTTGAGCTATTTCCAAGTAAGGCTGTACCGGATGTCATATGATTTATCAGAATATTGTACCGAATGTCATACGAAATGTTAGAATAATTGCACCGAATGCCATATTGTATATTTAAAAATTGCACTGAATGGCATATAAAATGTGAAAAGAATTGCAAAATTTTACCGAATTTCGTATGAAATATTGGCGCTCCAAAAGTATGTGTACCAATATAGAGGTAGCTAGTTTTGTTCGCCTACAGTCTCCGAACTTAATAGAGCTAAAATGAGGGAAATCGAAGTAAAATTATGGCCTAACCCTAACTTGGTACACATACTACCGGAGTACCGGGATATTAAAAGTATTGTACCGATTGTCATGATAAATTCCCAATGAATAGCAAAATTCCACCAAATGTCATTTGAAATGTCGAAAGAATTATACCGAATGTGATATATAAAATATTAAATGCAATAAACCGAATATCATATGAATTTTTCTAAAAATAATTCCACCGAATGTCATACGAAATGTTGAAAGAATTATACCGAATGTCATATGAAATGTTTAGAGAATTATACCGAATGTCATATGAAATGTTGAAAGAGATATATATATATATATAGAGAGAGTGTTGATGATTTGGTTTCTGCGAGACTAACTACTTATCCTTCTTCTATGCTTTTGTGCCGGTAGATCCGCATGCATATATTGCAAGGATGCTGTAGCAAGAGTAAAGATAACTATCCTGAGTAATTCAATAAATAGTCTTGCTGCACACTAACACAAATAAATTTCTGTAACGTTTCGTTGAACTAGTTGAACTATGTATGTCTGAAGAAGTCTGACCTTGGTCAGACGAAACGTTACAGAAAAATATTTGTGTTAGTGTGCAGCAAGACTCTTGAATCACTTATATAGAGTGTGCTTCTCTCTCATTTCCGCGGTACAATTTGAAGTCTCTCTCGTTTTGGCGATAGACTTCCAACTTTTGCGTGGCTTGTAATGCATTTCTTATGGGATTTGACAGAAATCAATCATTTGCGTCGATTTTTCTCGTCTTTTACTTGATCTTGAATTGTTTAATATTAAATATGAGACGCTAATAGATCACAGTCCACTATGCCCTCCATTTTTTGACTTTTTTTTAATCTGCGTAAGTCGTGGATTAATAATATGGCCAACGTATCAGTCAAAAGCAAACATTAACGACCACAGAACATTACCCAAGGTGGCTTATCGGAATCGCCCTTCCATTTATCTGTTTTTGGCCATATTTTATCACTGGACTACATTTAGTGAAGCGATCTCAATATGATTGCGTGGCCTGTCTCGGTAGTATCCGAGCTATACATATAAATTGATCTGGAGTGCGCTTCGCCCTCGTTTCGAAGGTCCCGTTTTGACTTTGGAGTTTGTTGGTATGGGATCAGTCAAAAACAATTAGATTCTATTTCCACTTTTATTTTATTGTGTTTAGGCCCTAAATTACTATTTTTCAAGCACGAGATTCCCACTATGTCGTCTTCGACTGTCCATAACTAGCTGACGTATATTTACAGCGACTCATGTTTTTTTCATCCATATACAGCGCACTTAGTACAAACGAACGCGAAAAACAGGCCAGACCACGATCAGTACGAACGAAATTTGGAAGCCCAATGGAGGCGATCAAATTGTGCCGCGCGTAGACAACGTAAAACGAGAGAGAAGATCGATCCATATATTTCCAGTTCAGTGACCGAATGCTATTGAAATTTTTTTAAAATAATTGTACCGAATGCCATATAAAATTTTTTAAAGAATTATACCGAATGTCATATGAAATGTTGGAAGAATTGTACCGAATGCCATATAAAATTTTTCAAATAATTATATCGAATGTCATATAAATTTTTTTATAAGAAGTATACCGAATGTCATAGGAAATGTTAATTTCTTGTACCAAATGTCATATGCAATGCTAAGAGAAATGCACCGAGTGGGCTATACTGAACTGCTGAAAGAATTGTACCGAATGTCATAGGAAATGCCCTATGAATTGCGAAATTCCACCGAATGTCATATGAAATGTGGAAAGAATAATACCGAATGTCGTATAATTTTATTTTAAAAGAATTATACCGAATGTCATATCAAATTGTAAAGAATTATACCGAATGTTATATGACCAGACTTGAGTCACCTTCTTTTTTTTTTATCTCGAGTCATTTTGACATAAGGACTCGACACGTCATTCTATCGGTTGGTTCCAGTCCAGACAGTGTAATAAAAACTTGATGACACATTCGTAGCTGCAATAATGACTCGAGACTCTACTTATGACTCGGGGCAGTGGTTACTCGACTTTTAGACACGGTAGTGCAGTGACCTGATTTGGAAATTAAATTTGCTTGAACTGGCCTCGAAACTCGATTGACTCGCGGTTTTGGGTTTAGGCACAAGGATGAGATTATTCTAACTTGATACGCTTCATTGATTTTTCACCTTACGTTTTTGAGCAAATGTATGTAATACGCGTACGCGATAAGAGATTGATAAAAGATCTTACTCAGCATTTGGAAAAAGTTTTCGTTAATCCTCCTCTTGTCAGCGTCTTCGCCATGTTCCCCCTTTCTACCTCCCTCGCCCTGGAAAAGAAAAATCATTTTATAGTAGTAGCTTCTTTACTAAGATTGTCAAGTCGAGAAAACAAACAGTTGAAATCAAAACAAAAATTGGCTTCTGTTCGGATTGGCAAAATATTTCACCCCGGATTTAGAAAAAAAACGACCTCAGCTCAAAAATTAGCAAAAATTTGACCACAACCACAATCACAATCTGCGGAAACCATAACGAAATTTGGTTCAAGTATTAGGTTATTATTCCGGATTTTTAATCACAGTTTTGAAATAAAATATTGACCACGATACCAAGAATTCTATTTTTATACCTTTGGAAATTACATGGCTTATTCTTAGTTATTTCAATTTTAAAATTCTATACTCGGCCACTGCCATTGTGACCACATTGATTGGGGTTATTGATGGGGTTGTTTGTTTTATTTTATAAAATGATCACTTTGGCGGACTTGGCCATAAGGTATATATATACAGCATATTGTCTTCTCATTATTGCATTCTTATAGGGATTAATACAATTCCCTTCGCCCTGTAATTGGCTTTTTTAATTTTAACATTCAGTATGCTCAATGTAAAAAACTCCGGGAGTTTCAAAATCTTTTCCCGATTTTCAAACCAGCAAAAGCGACAGACTCCGACTTTACACCCGATGTATCTAACACAGGGGTGTGCAACCTTTTTTACAGGAGGGCCAATTACAAGTAACTGGGTGAAGCCGCGGGCCGCACATAGGAACTCTACCTACAAAAGGCTCTGGAACTGAATACAAAAATCCAACTTACGAAAATTATTCTCCTAAAAATATTGCTTCGGCTAACGTAAGATTATTTTCTACGTATACGAAAGGCCGAAAAAACGCGTGTATTGATATTTGTTTATTTGAGGTTAATTTAGTGCAGTGTTTGAAGAAGGCATGTCCAATTCGAATATCGCGACCTTCAAATATCGTTTTTCGTGTTTGGCGCACTTATTCTAGCGCCGCCGACCACGTATTGATTCAAGACATTTCACAGTTATTTCATTCCCACGCGGCAACAAAGTATGTGCCATCCCATTGGCCCGTTTGTTTCCCGCGGGTACGTACAATGTGTTGCTAGCGAAATTCAGTGCGAAGACGGTGATACGCGTAACAGTTAGAACAAAAGAAAATAAAATGAAAAAATAAAATAAAAAAATTTATTTATGTGTGTGTGCTCATTTTCGTACATTACGTTCTTTCTCAGCTGTCAACTTTTGCCGCCTCCTCCCACCGCAGTTCAATCTACGCGGTCTTTGTTTAGCCTAGCCTAGTCGGCCATTATTTTTTTATTTATTATGCAGTAATCTAATTCTAACATGTATTTGTTACGCGTTTTACCAATTATTATAATTCATACAAATATTATGTCCTAATTTTGTGGGGGCTTAGAACGGATCAGGGGATTTACAGATAAATTGCGTCTCTACTCACGGAATTTTTTTACCTAAAAGTGGCTTTCGTAGGTATAGTTTTTACTGTAGTTGCCATCAGCAGAAAAAGTTGTCTCTTTTTGTTATTGATCTTACGGCATTGTTGGGGATCCTTGTTGAGTTAAAAAGCATAAATTTCTAAAGAAAACTGCTATTCAAATTTATTGTCACACCAATTTTAAACAAATTCCGTGAAAAACACGTTTTTATAACATTGTGTATTTTGCAAGTTAGTTTTGTTAATATGACAATGGCATTCAGGTACTGGTATGGGTTTTGTGACGCGAAGAGATTGAAGTTGCTCGCACGTTGCAGATGAACTGGACCAAAAGCTGGTTTCGCGTGCACACCATTCATAATTAACACTTCTCCGCGGGTCGCACAGTTTTTCTTTGCGGGCCGCATTTGGCCCGCGGGCCGCAGTTTGCCCACCCCTGATCTAAGACTCTGTTTTGCATATAATTCTCAAATCTCATGAGACTGAGTAGATAGGAGGTTTGGAAAACGCTCTTATTCGATTCCCAACGCATCTACGGAACTGGCTCCCCCAAGAATTTTAAAAGTTTATATAAATATATATTGAATGAATGGATTCAAGTCTCAAGCCCCCGTTTTAAAGAGTTCAAAATTTCAATCTCAGAATCGACAAATTAAAAAATTGGATTTGCCGACATCGCCGGAAAATAACGCCAGAAGATCGCGGTTAAGCGGACAGTCACCTAGTTTTAGACCACAATTTTCCACACACAAATCATCGTAAATTACAGACCATAAGTCGCATCGGCCTATACGACGCAACGGTTTTTAAGAAGTATCGTGTTACCGTACAAAGCTCATTAAACAGAAAAAACTCAATATTTTTGTGATTATCGTGTTTTGTTTTTATGATTATCGTATACATGTTTTGAGTGCGACAATAAAGCACTATCTGATCCATACATGGGGCACACAATCAAACGAAGTAAAAATTAATTTAAAGTGCAATTAAAATACCGTAATTGATTTTAGATATACCTCAAAAGAAAAAAATGGAAGAGAGCCCAGTTATTGGGAAGAACTCTGGACAATATTTTTCTCAATTTGGATGTTGTTACGTAAGGAAAATTTTGGAAAAATTTGCTATTATATTTCCCGGTAAGACGGTTCGTTAATAAAACAAGACCTGCTGCAAACAGAACGAAGACATTTTAGGACAAAAATAGAAACAATTTGTATTTATTAATGTCAGCTGAGAACTTCAAATCAGACTCCAAAAACCAACTCCGACTGTGATTTCGGATTTCGACTCCTAATACAACCTCAGAAATACTTTTAAACTATAAGCTTTTACAAACTGATACCGATACTGATCCGATACCAGATAAAAAGCCCGATACCGATACACCGATATTCGAAACCGACCGATATTGCCGTTATTCCGATACTATGTAATTATTACTTCAAGTGTGCAGGGCAGACGGTTCAAAACAAGAGTGTTTGAGCATTGTCAATAGTGCACATTATTTCAGATCGAAGAAAAGAAATATCACACACATATATATACATATATATATACATATTAAGAAGTAAGTGTTCCGGATCCAAATGCGTTAATTGATTCAGATGCATTGAGCACTGGCGCTAGTAATCTCGGTGTTCAATTAGAAAACTAATAGGATTTGGCTACTTTGGGTGGTAAAATAAAAAAATGTTTAGCCTTCTTATCGTATGAAACATTGATGATACATTGAGTTAGGTGCGCAGGATTTTGTGCCAATATAACGTCGTATTTTATATTTAACACATCGGAAAATCCACTAATATTCGATCGATATATTTCCTCATAATTACCATGTAATATTAAAAATTTTAATATAAAAATTTGGCAGCCAAAATATTCAAATTAATTGAGCCAGTTTGGCTGATAAATGGCTGGAATCATGTCTGAATCCGATTCCCGTTTCTACTAACGGGGGTGGGGACGTGCATGGCTCATAGTTCACGATCTATCCAAGCAAAAAATAATTTCAAGATCAGTATTCTAATCTATTTGTAAAACATTTTGAATTTTATTGAGAAGCTTAATATATCGGAAATATCGGTCTAAATTTAGCCGATACCCGATACCGATACATCAGTACATCTCTAATTTGAATATTAGCCGAAAAGAGTGCCTAACGGTTAAATCGCCAAATTTAGCTTTGCTATACAATTCAAGAGCCCTGCCACACATTAACACAAATTTATTTCATTAACGTTTCGTCTGACCAAAGTCAGACTTCCTCAGACAAGCAGTTTACAGCAAACTTAGCTGAGTTGACATCTCGGGTTTAACTATCCCCCGGTGTGTAATAGATCGGGTAGGCAATGCTAAATCATGAAGATTTCAGCCTTTCTGAATAATAGTAGCTCCTTACTTATCGTAAGATATCAGTGACTGTACAGAGCCTAGTTCGGAGAGAAAGCCGTGAATAAGCGTCGAATTGAAAAATTCGGTTTTATGACATTTGAACCCACGTACATTTGAACCCGTAATTTGAATCCACGACACTTGCACCTGCATACTATTGCACCTATGGGAAATTTTTTTACGTATATTTGAACCCATACTGACCCTAACCCATAAATTTTAGCATCCTCATATAGATTGAATCAGCGGATATACACATGGGTTCAAATGTACGGTCACCAAAAAATTCATATACTGTATGAGCAAAAAAGATTCAAACTCAAGACAAAAAGTTTTGCAACCTGTCTTGTAAAATTAGATCAGATTCGGGGATTTCACTCCGGTTGCGACTCCCTCTACAACAGTTAGAAACCCAATTACACCAACCTTGATTCCTCTTTCTCCTTTTGGTCCAGCCAATCCCACTGGCCCCATTTTGCCCGGAGCTCCGGGATTTCTAGTTTGAGAATCTTCTCTTTGTTGTCTGTCCGCCCCACAGCTGACTTGCACAACATTGCAAGAGTCTGATTTGGAAGGAAAAGGAACCGACTGAGAAATCTGGCATCGTGCGATCGGTATTTTCCAAGCTAACCCGATGAAAACAGCGAGCAATAAACTTAGTTTTACAGTCATGATTATGATCTAGGACTTTAAACTAAATTGTGAAAAAAAATAAATAATCTTGTGACCGCACAGACATTAGTTTCGAAAATACTGAATATAAAACATTAACACAGTGGTTACCAATCCCCGACCATTTCTATAAAAAAAAATCGGTACTCCCGAAGTATGTGAACCAAGATGGCGGACACCGGAACGTAGTATGTGTACCAGGTTAGGGTTGGGCCATGATTTTAGGTACAAATACTACGGGAGTCACTTGGCTAGTCCCCGAACTCATAATAGAACAAAAAGAAAGAAAATTGGAATGAAATTATGGCCTAACCCTAACTTGGTACACATACTACGTTCCGGTGTCCGCCACCTTGGTGCACATACTTCTCGAGCGCAAAAACACAACTCATAATGACAAAATTGTGACAATTAAAATCCTACGCTCACTTTAGTATCGTACTTTGCTTATGAAATGAAGTTTTGTACGAATAAGTAAACGCTGAAGGAAAAGTCATTTGGTATTCACTAACGTGCAATTCTACCCTATTTCTAATATTCTTCGTAACACTTGGGTCTGTAGTGCTCACTTGTCAATTCACTCAATCTTTTTTGTATGTCAGTTATTGCGAGTGACCTAGCGTTGAACGAATTCCCTTCAAAAATACAAATTGCCGAAGTAGTCTAACATAGTTATCCAGTGTTCACACCCATGTCTGTCTACGAGAAACACATGTAAAACATGGCGTAGCGGAAGAAACAAACTTTTCTTTCAATAACAAGCATTTTTATCCATGTTACACACATGATACAGAACTAACAGGTAATTTTAACCGGCATCATTCCAGTGCCATATAACACTACATAATGGGAGGCCAACTCGAAACGATGCTGAAAATTCTCAATTGGCGGGGTTCGCGACTTCTGGATTACATGTTAAGATAACGCCGTTTTCCGCAATTAAAATCCTATCTAATGATAAGTCCGTCTTATCAACTTTCCTCTCTCGGGATAAATACATACAAAAACCCAATCCCATGATAGGGCTGTCGTATCAGCTTTCCTCTCCCTTACAATAAATATGAACATATTATGTGATAATTAAACCCTCTTATCGGCTTTCCTCCTCTCAAGATAAATACAAAAATCCTATCATATCATGGACCCGTCCTATCAGCTTTCCTCTCCTCGGGATAAATAAAAAATGAACTAAACCCGTGATTTATGAGCTCATTCCAGAAGAGCAAAACATGTTTACATCGCCAGGCAGACATGTATTGATAGGAAGTGTTTACCAGGGGTTGGTAAGGTTTTTGAACAAGGGGCCAAAAATTTTGCCCGCTCAGACAGATACCAGATATGTAATTGTGACGTAAAAGGTTACATTTTATGAACAATATTTACAGTGTACAGCAAAGGTGGAAAACAATAAGCCTCGCTCGCGCCAAAACTAAATTTTACCGCAATCTTAACAAATTCCTTGAGCTATTTTAACTGAAACATCAAAATTTGATTTTTGGTTGTGGTAGCATCAGGCGAGCCAGATTGAATTACCCAACGGGCCGGATTTGGCCCGCGGGCCGTACTTTGCCCAGGTCTGGTGTTTACGCCTGTGAAGGCAACTTATGTAAAACATGCCCAAAATATGTTCGTTACATCAGTTTCATATACGACTCATATACGCGCCTTTTGCTATAACAAGTTTCAACACAAGCAGCAAATGATATCTAACAACTAGGACTGGACATTTTCGAGTATCTGATTATTTTAGAATCGAATCGAATATTTTTCGAATAAATTCTCGAATACTTGGAAGACATGCTGTGGTATCGTGTTTTATTGTAACGAGTCTTTCAGACACACAAATCCGGTGCCCTTGCTTTATTCAACAAATTTCATTCATATTTGTCCCTCATATATATCCGCGTCGCTGATCTGACAAAATGTTACTCAATAGCGCCCCCTTTTTTGCGATTTTCTGCTTACTGCAATTCGAAGGTTACACCCCTGTTTTGAGAAAATAAGAAAAAGTATATTTTGCTTTTTAAAAGTCACATAACTGTGAATATTGCTTAAAGATATGGTTAGATACGAAAGCAAAGTTAGCCATCTGAAATCGGTTAACCATTCCCAGTCCTAATAATAACATATATTTGCGTTATAAAATGCAGTGCTGGGCACTCATTATGCGTAAAAAAAGCACCCAGCAAAACACCTCACAAAAAAATATGTACATGCCAAATCATATAAAACACATTTAATTTGCTGATGTTTCGCTTCCAATACAAAATTACAAACGAGGCATCAAAAAAAGGTTTTGCAACACGTAACTCTGCAGCGGCCCACAGCCAATTTCTTTACTTCGTTTTAATTAAACTAGTAATAAAAATGTTTTTTTTTTCGTACAAGTAACTGATTGAATTTTCGGACAAAAGTTTGTTTGCTCGATTAATTATCGATGGGTATTCGTTACCAATAGAGCTCAAGAATTATGACAGTAATTCTTTTATAAATCTGGACTGTAAAGTGGAGGTTTCATCGGGTTTATCATATTTATTACTATGCAGTTGATCGACGCCCCAAACAAAATGAATTTATATTACAATGATAAAGTCGTTGCTCGCTCGGCGCCAGGGTCAAAATCCTTCTGTGCATCACCTGGAAAATATCTTAATGGCCCACACTTTTGTTGCGCGTCTTTTGACCACCTGCAGAGTCGCAATAAGTTCATATCTTGCTGGATGCCAAGGCGAAGCTCTGAAATATTATACTGCTCTTGGCTGTTTTCTGGTTTAAACAAAGAAATATTCCTAACCGTTTATTTGGATGATAAAATTAAAAGAAGTTTACAGAACGGGAAAAGCACGCATGCTGATTCTCAGGTTTCTGAATCTTGCGAGATTTGACGGAGCGCTTTCGCGATGAATCGGAACCGAAAAAGCGAGAAGTGTGATTACTCGGCGCGAAGACGTCGCCGGGCGATTAATACCGCTTATTTATCAAACTGTTATATGACGACGAAAGAGAAATTGCGTAGTACAATGGGATTTACATATTTATCTCTGGGGAGAGGAAAGCCGATAAGACGGCTTACTCATATAGCGAACCACGGCCTCTCGTCCGGTTACCAGTCCAGGGGCCCCATTCACAAAGCTTCGTTACCGTCTAACGTGTTAGTTAAGCAAACCAAAAATGGTATTCACAGAGCTTCGTAAATATTCGAGAGAAGTTATTCGAGAGAATTTTTTTGGCGCCAAATGAGACGTCTCGTAAAGTGCCTTCTTCTCTCATTTTACCGAGAAATGGTATTCAGCAAACTTCTTTAACGCGCTGAAGAGCTCGCTAGCAAACGAGAACAATCTTCGCCTCGTTAACAGTTCGTATTGCTCTCGGCAGTGATTCAAGTTAAAATAGTGTCGTTTAGACGTTAGCATACTTTGTAAAAATTGGCATAGTATCAAAAGGCCTTACTCGGGTAAGCGTGTATGTAGTCTAGTGTCGGTAACTTAGCTGTGGGATATCTGCCGCATTTACAGAGTAAACTAGGGTTGAGATTCAGAGATTGTTAAGTTCATTGTTTTTTGTTTTTGTTTATTCTAGCGTTATTATAAACACAGATTCAAAAATGGCTGCTTATATTGAAGCTTGCAGAAGAAAAGCCCCAACAATCTCTCCATATCGTATAAGAAAGAAAAATCCGCTAGATGCAGGTGAAAGGACCTTAATAGAGGACTATAGACTCAATAAAAAATTAATAACAGAGTTGTGCCAACTATTACATCCAAAACTGGCACCCTTTACGAGGCGTTCACGTGCACTGTCGGTGGAGGAGCAGGTCCTAATAAGCCTGAAGTTACTAGGCTCCGGAAGCTTCCAGTCTAGTGCAAAGGATATTATTAACGTCTCCCAGCCAACTGCTAGTAGAGTTTTTTCTAGATTTCTTAATGCCCTAGGTGAGCTTGCAAATGATTTTATACATATGCCAGAGGATCCATTTGAAACCAAAATGAACTTCTATAATATAAGCAAGTTTCCAAATGTTATTGGTGCTATCGACGGGACCCATGTGCCCATTATTGCTCCTGCTGCCAACGAACATCTTTACATTTGTCGAAAGAATTTTCATTCCTTGAATGTACAGGTGAGCATGCTTATATTTCAATAATGTTTCATTGTTTTCTGTGGGCGAGATCTTTAGAATCACTAATGTTATTCAACTCTTCCTTTATAAAACTGCTTTTACATTTTATTTATTTCATCTTGTCTCAATTGCAGGCAATCTGCGATGAAAATATGATCTTCACAGACATTGTGGTCAAATGGCCTGGCTCGAGTCATGATTCGTTCATATTACAACAATCCAACATATATGACAAATTCGAAAGTGGCCAATTTGGTAACAGCTTGCTGCTTGGGGACAGTGGATACCCATTAAAAAAATGGTTGATGACACCAATATCAAATCCCAATGGGACAGCCGCTGAAAGATATAATATTGCACACAAAAAGACAAGAGTGATTATCGAAAAGTAAGTTTATTCATAAATTAATATTATGCCTTTTATAGCAGATAGCAAATAAACAAATCTTAATGACCATACTTACTCCCAAGTATTTCCAACCAAACAGCTAGACAGAAAATTTACACAATGTACACAATAAAATATTATGTTGCATTTCAAAATTGTATGTTAAATGCCGCATCAGAGATAAATAACTGCATTTTGTTTCAGAGCATTTGGAGTGTTGAAGCAAAGGTGGCGTATTCTTGATCATACCGGGGGCAAATTGTGCTATACACCATTGAAAGTTGCGAAAATTATAGTATGCTGTGTTATTCTACACAATATGTGCAGGAGAAATAATGTTCCTCTGCCTTCCAATGGGAGAATTTACCCTGTACCAGACACAGATGACACTGCAGCACAAGATGATTTCGAACCCACTGCAGAGTCCGTGCGTTCGGCCATAGTTTCAAGTTTTAGTTAGTGTATCGTCAAAATTTTTGTGTGCTTGCAGTAAGGGTGTTGTCAAAAACTTAATACACATGAAATTGGTGACAAGCGTGACGTCACCACAGATTACCTCATACCCTTGCGACATGTGTCATGTACATTTCAGATCGAGTCGATTTGAATATGGCCACTCTCAGCTTGGTTGGGGCTGTTTGTGTCACAATATCAAATTTGAATATTCGGAACACTTCGTCATTCAATGATTGTGACATAAGCAGCCCCAACCAAGCCCTTAACTGAGCTGGGAGTGACCATATTAATATTGACACATCTTTCTGAAATGTTTGATAGACTTGTCGCAAGGGGATGGCGGAATCAGTGATGACGTCACGCTATTCGCCAATTTCCAGGTTGTATCAAGTTTTTGACAACTCCCTGGCAGCGAGTCATAATCCCCCTATACATGTTGAAAAAGTAACGTGAAATTAAGTCTTCAAATTTCTTTAAGAAAATAAATGAGTCTCAATTTTGCGTTCCTTTTTCAATTTTTAAGTACCGGTATTAAATTTTGCGTTGGAGAGTATACAAAATATGAAAACTCAAAATCGTTTACTTATAAATAACACACTTTAATTTTAAAAGCTGCTGAACATAAATTTTTTAAAAAGTAACACTTGGGCTTGACCATGTCATTCATCATCTTCCGGAATTTCTTGCAAGTCACTAGATTCAGATATTTCAATGGAGTTTTTTATTCAACTTAATTTTTACACCCACAGTTTGATGTTGAGAAATAAAGATCTTTGGCCTGTCCTGTTTCATGGGAAGGGCTCATTTTAAAATTCCGGCTAGGTCTTATTTTTGGGAAAACACATAAATAAGAAACCCAAAAATAAGACCTAGCCGGAATTTTAAAATAAGCCCTTCCCATGAAACAGGACAGGCCAAAGATCTTTATTTCTCAACATCAAACTGTGGGTGTAAAAATTAAGTTGAATAAAAAACTCCATTGAAATATCTGAATCTAGTGACTTGCAAGAAGCAAGAAATTCCGGAAGATGATGACATGGTCAAGCCCTAGTGTTACTTTTTGAAAAATTTATGTTCAGCAGCTTTCAAAATTAATTATGTCAACATCTACGCCAGAGCTGTATTTTATCATTTTGTTGCTATGTTTTATTGCAATAAAGAAACCACTTTGAATAATAGTCTAGTCTCACATATCTCGAAAGTGATACTGTCAGTTTCGTATTGCTTGCTATAGGAGGGTCTCTCCCACTGTTGTGCTCCATCAAAATATTCGAATGCGATTTAATGTTTGGCAGACTGACTGATGCACGATTATGGTAGGAGCAATAAGCCAGCACATTTCTTATCGCCTACTCATTTCGTGGGAATTTCCAATTAACAATATGTATTTAATTCACATTTTCTGTTTTGGTGCCATACTTAGAAACCTGTTCACATTACGATAATAGTTTAAAGATGGGATTGGAGTATTGGTCAATAGTAACAGGCAGCATAAAAAGTCGTGCGAATTGTAATGAAATTCCAGGCTAAATGAAAAAATGTACAGAGAGAACCAAATGTAGTTTGACAGTATTAATCAAGTTTTTTGGCAGCCTGCCCACTTATGGATCACCCCATATACAAGGTACAGGTACTACAATTTTGAGTCACAATATTTTTCAGCAATTTTTGCCAGACTTTTTTCCATTTTCTTGTGAGAGTCTACCAAACTATGCAGTAGTTCTTTTATTTCTCTTTGGATTGTGACAATGTCACTCGCCTCGTCATCGCAGCGTCTTCTTTTTCTTTTGCTTCTTTTGCTGCTGACTGTAGACGATGCAGAATGGTCATGACAGGAAGTTTCACTTTCAATATATGAAGTGTATGGAAGCGCACCCCCTAGGAACAAATATTGGTTTTTTGCTATTATCAGAGAAAAAAAAAAGGCAGGTTAAATTTCATTGTGTAATTAGGGCACAATATAAAATTATACATACCAGTGCCTTGGTCTTCATGTTCTGCAAACGCAAATGGTTGCGAAGATGCAATTATTGGACCTGTAAAATCAAAATAGGTATTGATAAGGGTTATATGTCGTTAGCAGCAATAGTGATTAACTGATTAAAGGTACATGACTTACTTGATGATCCTTCGTACGTGTCACCTGAATTGACTTGAGAAATTTGCATCGAAAGTGAGGATGTTTCAGCATGACCTAAGAAAATAAATCATATGCTCAATAATCATTGATATGCTACAATATTTTTTGTATAACGTATTTTTGAAATTTCAACATACAAAGCCAGTTTTCGATTGCTGCAGCACCTGGTATGCCCTCAACTGACTCATTTCCCATAAGGGCTATTATCCTGTAGTCCATCTCTGTAGGTGGTTTTGCAGTAATTGTACCTCCTCCAGTTTTTTTTAAATCTTTCCTGTACAAAGAGACCCTCTTTTTGGCATTCGACTTCATGTCGTACCACTTGTGTTCTATCTGGCTATCGGTTCTAATACTCCCTGTAATATTGACTGAATTCACCTATGAAGAAAATAGTAAATATATGATAAATGATAATAAATTTGATTAAAAGCTCTGCTATCCTGCAATTGCACTTTCAACGTATCAATAACTGTGATCTACATTAGCAACTTTTGGCAATTGTACACACCTTGTTCGAAATATTTCTCCATGCTGCTCTTTTGGTTTGTGTAGTAACACTCTGAGAGTAAGCCCCAAAAACTTGTTCACGGTGTTGTGAAACCCCAGAAACTAGTGCCTCAATCTCATCAGGTGAAAATAACTTGGCCCTTTTCGTTTTCACTGACATAGTAATTACGGTATGGTACCTTATATACTAGTTACACTCGATAATCTGCAAGATGAAAATAACATTAAAGTTGAAGCGACCGCTCTTACTGCAATATATACCTACTCTGATGGAATCATATACTGTTTCACTGCAATACTTGAATACAGCTACACGGACTAACTCAAAGCTGCAATTAGGTATGGTACGGTACTAACATCAAAACGGTACTTTGGAAACTCACTCATTTTATTGTATTCATTCCATGTATCCGTCAGTCTAGATTACGGCGCTGCTATATGAACAAAACGCAGGCTGCAAAAAAGAAAGTAGCGATACACGCTCGACCCGATGGCGGCGATAACTGATACGGCTGAGTGACCAGTCAGTGAATTTTGTTCAACTGCGAACGAGCGTAAGATTTCGAGTGAATACATTAACCGTGCGTCAAGTGCTAACGAGGTCTTTGGTGAATCGCATTTAACGAGATTTCGCTATCACGATTCTGAGAGACACAGTTACGAGATCGTAAACCCGACTTTTTACGAAGTTTAGTGAATGGCGCCCCAGGTCGGATATGGGATCAGTTAGTCAGTACCAAAGCGAATATATAATACAAGCGAGAAACGATCCGACAATGGACGCCATCTTGTGCCTATTGTTCTCGGCCATATAACACGGCGCCCTATGAGAAGTTCGCACACAATCATTGAAACATACCTATTATTTTTACTAATATTTTAGGTAGAAAATTTTAGAAGGTCGCGTTTTGAAAAATAATCTTAGCCTAACACGTTGATATCCTTCCATGTTTGCCAAATTACATTTATAGTACATCAAATTGTCTTTGGAAACGAGTATACCGGTTCCGAGTTGCTTCTGAAGTAAGTTGGCCATTCTAATCGTCATAATTAACCATTTGACAATGGCAATCCTTATGACGTCACAGATGAAAAGTTGTATTTATTTATTCGTCGAAATTACCGGCCGACTCAACTTCGCTTCAATGGCCGTTCCTATTTTCTGGTTAACAATTTTCGTCTGTCAAGCTCCATAATGCCTTACTGCTCGGCTCCAAGCTGCGCTAGAAGAACAAATGACATTGTAGGATTGTTGCGGAAACATTTTACAGCGTCAAATTGACGTATCACTATAAAATCTTCGAACAAATGGTCCTGCGTTGTGTTTGTGGTCAAATTTAACGCATTAGATAGTTTTTTCATATCTTAATTTCGTTATATATTTAGGTAGCATATAGCTTAAAGTTTAAAATCCACCCTTCGGCTTCATTCTAGCCCTTATAACAGCTGACTTATTCGATTCGGTACAACAACACTACGAAAAATTCCCATAAGACTACATTGTTTCGCGTTTCCGAAATATGGCACAAGATGGCGTCCATGAACTTGTTTAACATTAGGTAAGTTGTTGCCGGCCGTTGGCCAGTACGTAGCAACGTAACTTTGTCTTTTCGGCACCGATAAAGCGATTGTCAGCACACAAGCAGCCAATGATAACTAACAACTGGGCATTTTCGAATATTTATAATTTCACAATCGAATCGAATATTTTTTCGAATCAAATCTCGAAAGATATATAGTTGCATTGACTTTTATTGTAATAATTGTAATAGGTCCTTCAGATACATAAATCAGTAAAAACACGTAATCAAATATTCGATTCGATCGCAAAATTGCTGCCATCTTATGTCTTATTCAGTGCCCCTGCTTTATTCAAGAAATTTCATTCAATTTAGTTTATGTCGTAAGTTTCCGCGTCGGCGGTCTGAATAAATGTTACTCAATAGCGCCCTCTTTTCTACGATTTTCTGCTTGCAGCATTTCGAAGGTTACGCTCCTATTTCAAAATAATGAGAATTGTGTTCATTTTGCTTTTTAAACTTACGTAGCTGAGAGTATTGCTTTAAACTATATAGTTAGATAACAGAGCAAATTTAAACTTTTTTTTTTGTAATATTTTCGAATGAAAAAATTTTCTTCAAAATTTCAACATTCTCCATTTTATCTTTGAATGCCGAATTGCTATGATACGTCATAGCTGAGGTTTCAAGTTCAGTAATCAATGAATACTTTTGTCACTAAACTGAAAATACACATTTTATTACACATTAAATCATTCTAGAGTAAATGTAAGAACACCCTATAGTACGGCAATCCTTCTATTCTAGAGCTTTGTAATATTTTCTACTGTTTTGCAAGAGCTTCGCGACCCACCCCCTTGGCGGTCGCGACCCCCGGGTTGGGAACCACTTCTGTATATGATAGATAAATAGACAAAGCAAGTATTTTTAATGCGACGATTTTGTACCTAGGATGTGCAGTAAAGTCTCCTGTAATTTGCTATATTTCTGCCTCCTTCAAATCTTTAACATGACCCCATGAGTTCAATAAGATATTTTGAACAAAGCTCCCGCCTTAATACAAAAATGTGAGATTTGAAAAGACCACCCCGCCACTATTTTGTATGTATTACACAAACGAGAGGTGGTGCGTGTCGATATATTGCCTAACAAAAATTACCTAACGTAGAATACTGAAAGCTGATGAGCATTTATAAATTATCAAAAGGCAACCCTGAGAATAACTCAATGCCACACTTTATTATAATTCTGGTTCATTTCAGGTATATCTGATGAAAAGTTGTGAATCGATAGATATAAAGATCACTCGTTAGTCAATGTTAAAAAAGATCATATTAACAATATAACACTTATATTGTGAACATTAGGTCTTTTTGACACATTTTCAGCTGCTGGTGTGGCGCGGGATTTTCTAAATAATGAGAAAAGTGTGCCGTGGCCCAAAAAAGGTTGAAAAACACTGATATAGATCAGGTCGAGTGTCGATGAAGTACGACCCATCCATGGCCCATGCTTGCAAGAAAGGTACTCGTTTTGCCTTTACGCATGAAGTTAGTTGCGTTAGGACTTGCGCCTGTATATTTCCCAATGGCGGTTTCAACGGCCTGGTCCGTAAACTGAATTCCGCGTTGAAATCAGGTTCCGAGACGGGTCTGCATTATTTGTTGTTTATAAAACTTTTATTATTATCTTTCTTTGTAAGTTTAATCGTTTTCATGTATCATTTCAGAATAGCATATTTGTCGTTGTAGTAATTGTAAATTGTACCATATTTGATATTCACATGGTTTCGATTTCAATAAATCGAGACCAATTCATTAGTACTGTTATGATGCGGCCATGCTTGGCGCAATTATAATCTCGATAATGTTACCACGGCCACTCGTAAATATTCTTGATTGTGACCCACACTCTCATTATATATCTGGCACGGGTATTATGTTTTCGATACTTTTTGCATGCAGTATGACCCTTTGATTTCTGGCACCAGTAAACCATTTCTACACTTTTATTACGAATTCCAGTCATTTCCTCACGACGTGATAAACACAGACCGTGCGAGGGAATTTTCTGTGTTAATGGAAAAAATGTGTCAAATGTGACTAAATTGTAGTGTATTTTTTGTCTATTAGGCTACCCACAATCATACTCGCTGAGTTTTAAGCCTCATTCATTCAATTATAATGTTTTATCTTTTTATTGCTAGTATGGATAGGAGGGCCGCTGCTCGCCACCGAATCCTAATTATTACTATCCCAGACAGATATTCGGCATAGTTATGTTTGGCACAAATATAATTCCTAGCGTATCCATCTTTGTATGGGGATATTTTTTACCACTGAAACTTATGGACAGGGGGTATATTTATTTGGCTAACACAGACAGTCCCAAACTCGTAATAGAAATAAAATAAGGAAAATCAGAATAAAATTATGGCCTAACCTTAACCTGGTACACATAATACCTATAGTACCTATATACTGAAAAGGTCGGGCGGCGGTTCGCCAGTTGAATAGCCCATGTCTAGATCATGTTATTGGAAAATTTAGTCGTTCTCACGTTTTGTTGACATTATGAACATATCTGGCACGAGTATCATGCTTTATATACTTTTTGCATGCAGTATAACTTTTTAATTTGTGGCCACATGGCCATGCTTGTCCTCGAATGAAAAAAATATTTTATTTCTCACCATTTCTGGCAACATTGAATGATGTCTATACTTTTCTTGTAAATTTCATTCATTTTCCCACGACGTGATACTTTTAATAGTCGGCGATCGTTACAGACCGTGCGAGGTCTGTTATTACAAAGGATATCTGCGAGTTTTATTATTACAGTCGCCGACACAGCTCCGGGGTATCGTGGACTCAATTGTGCGAAAACTAATGTTTTGAATGAAGGGGATTGTATTGCGCTGTAGCGCGAGGCTTTCTTAGTCGTTGAAGGATTTATTGCGGCCTCATTTAGATAGATGGTGCCTGAAACAGTCTTCAGCAGAGAGAGTTCAGCTATGTAAGTTTGCTCAGTACTCCCGTAGTGTGTGTACAAGTTTAGGCTAGAGTTTTGAAAGTTTGTTTAATTCAAAGCCGCGAGCCATTCTCTTAAAAATAGGTAAACTGCAAACAGACTCAAATAAAGATTTATCTTCTCATTTATAAGGAATGAGACAGTATAAGCACCGTTGAGAGTTTAGATACTCATGTTTGTAGAAGCTCACGAGACTCTAACTAAAACGTAAAGGGTACGAATTGAAAGTTGCAAGTAATATAACCATTAATATGAGCGTTTAGGTTGCCACTGGGCCAGGAAATAACTTTGTGTGGAGGAATTTTACAGAACGAACGTTTTCACCTTAAATTTTTGTGTGATGATGGTTGAAAGTTTCAGTCGTTTAGCAGTATCGACAGTTGTGCTTCTGGATTACGAGACTTATTA